TTACAGCTTGCACGGACGGACGGACAGACAGACATCCGGATTTCATCCTTGGATCACCTTGGTATACATAACCCTATATCTGACTCTTAAGGGATCGAAATACATGCATTTTTCGCGAATTTTTCTAGGTACCGAAGAAATTATATGAAATATCAAGGTTTTTCGCTTATCGAGGTTACGACTTATCGAAGTTTCACTATATACGGTTTTTGCTTCTCCTGTAAACCTACGAAAAGTAATATTACGTTATTTTGCATTTAAGGTGACGATATGTACATATATTATTTATTTAGCAAATTAACGGCAATCGGCAATACACAACAGTTACTTTCATAAGTAAAAGAAAAAATAGAAAAAATATAATAATAAGGGCAATTGTATCACAGTGATCAAATTAATGGTATGGAAGGAGTTTGTCCTTTATGTTATTGATGAATGAACTGAAATCGATGTTCTGATGAAGTGAATTTACATGGTTAGCAATCCTGTTGTGAGGTCCATGGAAGACGTAGTTTTCTGTGTCTTTGTTGTTTTAAGTTTCCGTGATTGTCTCAGCGAGAATGCCGTAGGAGCAAGCTGAAAACTACCAAGAATCTCTGGGGCATCACTTAGGTTGTTAGCAACCTTAAAGTAAAAGACTAGGTCAGCGACTTGACGACGTGTAGCTAGGCTGTTGATTTTATAGCGTGAACGAATATCATCAGTGGTGAGTACCTGCGACCTCAAGGTTGTATGAGAGGATGGAGACTTACAGAATTTATTTTGGACCTTCTCCAATCTGTTGATTAAGACATCAGTGTGAGGAGACCAGACTACAGTGCCGTACTCAGGTATTTGAAGAACCAGTTGGCGATATAGACATATCAATGTGTAGGGATTGCGAAACTCTTTGCCTGTTCTCCTGATTAATCGAAGAACCTTGAAAGCTTGGAGCGTGATCTTGTCTATATGCTTCGAGTAAGTGAGTTTGTTGTCTATGATGATTCCCAGGTCTTTGATGTCGGGAACTTCTTACATTTATTTGCGTTAAGATCAAGTTTGTTATTAGTACACCAGGCCGTGAGTTTGTCAATGTCATCTTGAAGCAGGTCGACATCTAGCTCATTTTTGATGGTTCTGTAGATCTTAAGGTCATCTGCGTAGAGCAGGTATCCTGACAGGAGATTTTTGCCAATATCATTGACAAAGATGTTGAAAAGCAGAGGTCCTAAACTTGCAGGGATCTGTTTACCTGGTAGGAATATAACCAATCCAAGGCATTGTCGTCGACTCCGTAGACTTGAAGCTTAGAAACAAGAATTCTGTGATTTACACGATCAAAGGCTTTGCTAAAGTCAGTATATATGGAGTGAACCTTGAGACCATCATTCAAAGTGTTGAGTAGGAAATTAGTGTAAGAGAAAAGATTGGACGTGGTTGATCTGCCACCTGTAAATCCATGCCGTCTTGTCGTGATGATATTTTTAAAGTCAGCACTAAGTTGAGTGAGGACCAGCTTTTCAAATAGTTTTGCCAACGCTGATTGAATGCATATAGACCTGT